AAAGCAATGCTCCCCTTTTATCCTTTGTGGCCTTATGAATTCCTCCAAGAAAGTTTCGACAAAATAGGATCTAAAGGTATTTACCCTCTCAGGGGCTGAGGAAGAGGGTAGCAATAGAATAATCAGGATTGTTTAATCAGAGACTGATGGTTTCTGCTGTCGTGAAGTATGCATCTGTGTTAGCATTTGTCAGATCACAGACTAATGAATTTCAGTTCTGTGGGGAAATAAAGCCGGTGAGGTGGCTGTTGTGCCTCAGGCAGCATCACATGGATATATGTAATGATAGTGTAAGTGTCAGTGTGGTGGCTTTCATATTTGAACGCATAGCAGAATACAAATAAGTACATCAAGCAGCTACAGTCTGAGTCCATTTTTGTTATTTTGCCTATTTGAAGGGTACAGTGTAGAGTTGAATGAATAATGGTGTGGCTGTGCTCAGTCAGGACAAAGGTAGGTAACATCAAAAACTAGATGGACAAGCATAATCAGAATTCATATATATTTGATGATAGAAACAAAGGATAACAAAAATAGACAAAGACACACCTCAACCAGCAGTACAAAATAATGCAGTTCCCCATTAAAGGGTAAAGACGCTCTGATGATTATATTTCTAGCTTATTAGAAATATTGTATAGTCTTTTTTTTCTACGTAATAGAGGCAATACATTTCACCATGTGACAGTTTAAAATTAGCTGTCTTGCTATGTCCTGATGGAGATTCTCATTACATCACAATGTACTTTTTGTTGTGAACCATAGGTCATCTAACTATTACATTTTGGGGGTTGCAGATAAATTAACTAATAAATGAACAAATAAATAACTAAATAATAATAAATACAGACATACACATCTCCATATGAAACTGGGCTGGTAGAGTGGAATAAAAAAGACTGTGAGAAACCTGATCATTGTGATATTAGCGAGCATCTGCAAACAACATGATTCATGAAAATAATATTAATGTTTGAAATAATAAGTACCTAAGTTATGTAACATGTTTAGATTTAATCATTTCCATGGTGATCTGGTAAAAGCCAGCCTGCATATAAAATTTGGCTACAGTCATGCGCTTTGTACAATTTCCTCAAACCCCCTCCTGTGACTCAGATACAGTTTACTAATGTGGCATTTACTTTACTCAAAACAAGTGTGGTGCTGGTAGTGTTACAGCTATGACAGCATAATTGGGAAAGCAATTCAGTTGGATTGCAGAAAGCTTTCTGTCATTTGACGGAGTTGATAAACTCTGCATCTGTCAGTCAATCAAGACATTCTAATGAAGGGCGTGAAAACAAAGGTCCACAAAAAGTCAGAGATTAACTATAAACGGTGTAAAATTCTGCCATCCTTTCAAATTCAGTGGAGGCATATTTTCAGAAGTTTACAGAAACAAAAACTAATTTAGTGGAAAGTAAAAGTTCTATTTGAAAAGTTTGATTCTTTTATAATAAAATATTGAAAACGTCCCCCACGCATAGCTTGAATTGTGCCTATGTTTCATATAATTTAATGTCAAGCCGACCTGTAAGCTCAATAAAAAATCCATCACACACAGTCTGCCTTTTTACTTGCAGCTGAAAGTGTTCTGCTTGTTGTGTATTAAGGTCATTGCATTGTCTAAAACAGATATTTTCTCTCTTTATCATGGCAGGATGATTCCATCCACAAGTAATGACTTCCTGGTTCGGGACCTCGCCGCCGGACGCAACTACGATCTTTGCGTACTCGCGGTGCTTGATGACGTCATCACATCGCTAACTGCTACGCGTCCTTTGGGCTGTCTGTCATTCACCACAGACACGGACTTCAGCCAGTGTCAAGCCCTGCACAGCCACTTCCTGGGTGGTACTATGATCATCATCATTGGAGGGATTATTGTTGCGTCTGTGCTGGTCTTTATAATCATCTTAATGATTCGATACAAAGTTTACAGCCACCAAGGTACAGGCCATGGTAAAGTAGCCATGGCAGCAACAGCACCAAGACCACAGAGCAACGGGCAAGGAGGAGGCAGTCAAGTCCAAGTCCTCCCTCACTCTGCCTCAAAAATGACAGACAATCAGGATGAACATGTTCTATCACCATCCAGGGCTATGTCGCCTAGCAACCCTCTGAGAGACACGGTGGCATTGGTAGAAGAGGAGAGCAGTGGACAGAGCGGTACGACCAAGGCTGAATCCCTGGCCACCGAGGAGCTACTCTCACCATCCAAGGCCCGCTACTCATCCAGGGTCGCCATTGAGATGAAAATCCGACCATCGTCCGTCGCCAAAGAATGCTCGTCCCCCAAGGAACTGGCAGGTAGTAAAGTAAAAAGATACAAGGAAGTAATAGACAGAGAGGAAGCCAATGGCATTTCAGGGAGGTGAAAAAGAAAAACAGTAAGAAGTTGACACAGAAAGAGTGGGTGGAGAGGAGGGACACAAAGAATAAAGAGCTCTAGGATGACAAATAGACAGTGTGCAATTGAGAGTGTGAAATTGAGCGAGATAATAGCGGAGAGAGGAACAGTGAGAAAGTGAGTGAGTGTGAATTAGAGAGTGAATATACGAGATGCATCCTTGTGCACTCAAAAGACACTTAAGGACACGTGGTGAGAAAATGTCAGTCTTCTGCCTGTAGGGCTGCAGGAGTTATTTTTTCTTTCCTCGCTGACTTCTCACTCTGCATTTGAAATACGACAAAACAAGAAGCATGGAATTAACATTGCTGTTAATTAGAGAAAGCCTTCTCAACTCAGTGATATTCGTGTTCTGCTCTCTGCATATATGTTGCTCATAGTTATGATGGCACCACAGAAATTTAGCAAAGCACACACGCTATGCCATAGATATAAAACCAGCCTTGGGCTTTTTGGGTTCAAATAAAGCCTGTTATAATTAAGAAAAAAAGAACCAATGGTATAATCATAAAAAAGGAAGGTTATTTCAGGTTTAAGGAACTCTAAGGCAAAATAGGATAAAAAGTAAATCATTAAAACTGCACTAAAAAAGGATTATTTTTCCTTCAGACTTTTTGACATTACTGCTTTTCATTCAATAGCTGATGGCATGCAGAAAAGGGCCCCAGAATTAATGAAGAAATAGTCTGTCTGTGCAACTGATGGCAAACAGGATCTGCATTTTGAATTATTGTCAAAAAAGAAAAGGAAAAGGATGAAATATGTATAGCGCAAGGTCTCGTAAACCTGATATCTTCTCTTGTGATAATGATTTAGCAATTTACATGAACATTTAATGGAGTTGAATAAAGTAATTGAAGCAACTTCAAACAAACCTCTAGAGGTAGTTGAGTAGGGGTAGCCATGAGACCCAGTATATTAAATGAACTTTTAGCAATAAACTCACAGAACGATAAGATTAAAAAAAACTCAGGTGTTTGAAGGGGAAGTATCACAAAGCAGTGGAAATATTTTCTTTTTGATACAACATATGCTAAAATTATGACGAGCTACGGAAACAACAGACAGCTCAGTTGATTCAGACGGCACTTTCTGAGAAAGTTTTCCACTATGATTTATGATTGAAAATCTGAAAAGGACAGACAAAAACATGGGGAAAAAATGAAACAAGAAAAACATCAATAAACCACAACAATAGAGCTGGGTGACCTTGGACAGTGCAGCAAAGATGAATGATGAAAACATGCCTCTGTGACACCCTCAGATTAAGTCTGTACGCTGACCAAAAACTAATTATCTCAAAAATCCCAGGCCAAAGTTGACCATAGAATCCATCCACTTTACACTGGTCAATTTCCAGTCTCAGAACTCTTAGTTCAGTTTGAACTGTAGACTCCCATTCTGTGATTTACTCTCTCTTAAGTTTTAGCTTTCAACCGTGGCGGCGAATATTAGGCTGAAAATTGCTGCAGAGTCAAGAAACAGAGAATGAGATATTAAGTGTTGAAGCTATTATGCATTCAGGACTGTGATAATAAGTGGAGCACTACTGTGTAACCAAAAAATATACTTCTCTAATTATATTGTAATGCTGTTTTTATTAAAGAACAATGGACTCTAAATAGTTTAGGAATGGAATTATGGCATTTAAGGTTAATGGGTGGTAATAATTGCTTCTGATAGTTCATTGCTGATGTTTATTGATGATGTTTATTCCTCTGGTATTGTGTTAATACTCACATGAGTGGTCCAAAGTGTAGCGAAACCCACAAAACCTCTGCTGTTGTGCATTTTATCATGCACTAATGATAAACTCATCATTTCCTTTGATAACCAACACCTGCCAACTAACTTATCATTCCAATTCCTGTGGATACAGTCAGAGTATATTTGGATTTATGGTTGTAATGCAAAAAGAGGAAGGACAACCCAGGAAATCCGCAATTTGGCATAAACTTGACGCTGTAAATTATATTTATTTCTTGGCGTACAGCGTCAAATTTGACAGCAGAGGCGGCCAGATAGATGGAAATTTCTATCAAATGATTCCCACTTGCTCCCAAGGTGTGCTTGAGGTGCTGAACGGTGTCCTGCCAAAACACGAGAAAATGGAAACTTCTGTTCGGTTATATCTTCATATTAAGTTCTCTCTGGTGCTTTTCAATCGACATTAATCCACACAGGAAAATGGGGATTTCATTGAAATGGATAAATCAAGACCCCTTTTCACACAAGTAGCTTAAATAGCTGAGTTGAAATTCTTTATCAGTCATTGATATGTCATTCAATTGGCCCCAATGAATGGATTGAAATGAGGGGTTACTGAGCCTCGTGGTGATAGCAGCGGGGGAACAAGAGATATGTGCAGCGTAAAGAAGCTTAGCCAGCAAGTTCAGGGAGAGCTTTCACCTTAATGAACTTGGCAGGTTCCACAGTAAGTTTAGGACTGCGCCAAGCATGGCTCCTATCAAAGTCTAATAATTGTAGGGCAGGCAAATTAAAACTATTTTCTGTCAAGGCAAAACCTGCCTAACATTTGGCTTCTAAGGTTTTAAAGTTGTTTTTCTCATATTTGAT